ATATATATATATATATATATATATATATATATATATATATATTTACTTCCCTGTTTCTTTGGAAGAAGATGTCTACCAAAACTAGAGTAGACCTTAGAAATAGGAGTATTAATTCTAAAGGTTTTCTAAAACCAAAGATTCTTCTTTGATAGCCCTTCACTATTGTCACCGTATATTGCTATCGTTCTATATGCAATTAAAAAAAGAATTCCAATGGAAAATAATAAGATTGTCCTTATATCTATTTGAGTCTCTATACATACACACCGTAAAAAAAAGGCAAAATGGATTTTTAAAAAAACGCTATTTGTCTTTTTTGTATTTTCAAGTAAAACTGCAAAAGAAGATAGGAAGGCAAGGAAAAAAGAAGCCCATTAATTCTCCTCACACTTTGCATTTTTCCCTTTTAATTCCTTGACACTGAAATCACCTTTTCAAGCCAACTGTTTTCTTAAAATCAAACCAACATATATGTTGTAACACAACCCTATAAGGGGATTCCATACACACCACGCGACAGTTATGGAGTATCTACTCCCTTTTTCGTAAAAGACAGTTGAAATGGTGAGCGGTAGCGTGATAAGGATTGTTTTTTCGCAGTGGTCAGTTCACCCTTCGGCTCCTGAAGCTTGGGCTGCCCTTCATGCAACAAGGCTGTAAGTTGTTCATTATGTTGCCAGTTGGCAGACTCGGCCATATCTTTCATCTTTTGCACGAAAGCCTCCTTAGCAGCGTCACTGGTGTCCACCACAAATTTAGCGGTTTCCACCACCACCACACCATGGTCATGAATTCCAGATTTTAAAAGAAACGGCCCCAAAAGGTGTGCACACGAGACCCCAAAAAAGGCAGCATCCATATGTGGGATACGGCCCTGAACTTGATGAAGAAGAAAACGATCAAAATCAAGCCCTATAAAATGAAAGCGAACACGCGGAAAGACTGCCTTGTATGCTACACTGCTTGGCGTGTTAGGCGGCAAGTAATTGTAATTCGCACTATCATCCCAAGCAAAAGCGTGCTCAGCCCAGGGCCAAGCGGCACCCGTCAAGAGCACGTACAACCACGCGCGCACGTTATGCATTGAAACAACCCCGTTGCCGTATTTGCACGTTTCGTCAGCGCCTCGGCTGTGAAGAAACTCATTCTCGGTGAGAGCCCCAAAGCAAAAAAAAGGTCCGTTCGTTATGTCTCCATGGTAGACCCCTATGCCTCGGCGGTCGAACAGAAATAAAGACTTGTTTGGGGCTGTATACTCGTACTGGAAGCCACGGCGAGGGTTGATATGGCAAACATCAAAAGCAACTCCCGTATTCCGCCACACGCGGTACTCTGGAAACTTCAAAAAGTGCGTGTAATCTTTCAGATGGAAGACGTAATCCCAGTCAATGAGGTTATCCCGGTTGTCATAGCGCTCCGCCATGTCCTGACGAACGAGCTGCGACCATTGCGCTTCGATATCAGCCTGCGTGCTATCCTTACACCAGCCTCGAATCTGATTCTCAATAAAATCCTTTTCTTTCAGCTTCATTTCGGAAAAATTAGTTAGTCCTGATAGTGGACTCGCTTCATTATCGAAACTTGTCAGAAGATGTTGGGCGACGCTTCGCATCTGCGCTGCGGTGATGTCGCGTAGAAGGGAGTTTCCAAAAATTTCCAAAAACATTAGCACACGCTCCTCCAATTCCTCTAGGGAGAACATGCTGTCCAATAGCCATTGGATAAAAAATAAATGTCGGCAGTGAATTCGCAAACTGGGCTCGTAAATGTAGATATGGCACATGGGCGCCGTTACGCCGTTCGCAACATTTTGGGCTTCACGCAAACGGAGAGAGGCGAGCGTTCGGAGGATATGCCTTATATCAGCAGAACCAGCTAGTAGAATCGATACGGCCTCGCCCGACGGTGCATCTGTCGCTTCAGTGGTGTTCTTGCCTACAGTCGGCACCTCCAAACTAGTTCCTTGAGCGTGGTTAGCTGTTTGACGGCGAGCTTGCGTTTGAATTTGCGAAATTAGAGCATTCAAGTCGTCTTCATTAAGAATCGCCCGATCACGCGTCTTATCACGATTCGTCGAGGTCGAAACCAAGGGTGAGGCGGAATTATCCTTAGCGGCGTCTATCGAACCCTGCTCGATGCTTCCCTCATCTTTTGTATCAGTATTAGTAGCGGTAGTGGTAATCGAAGTAATATCCGGCTGGCTACATGGTGGTCGCACCGCTGCATGCTTTTCAAGCAGCTTGATGAAGTCTACGGCTGGTGACCATCCCCAAGCTGGTTCCCTACCGATTCTATTTAACAATTGCTCTTTCTCAGTACGCAGATACTTATCACTCATGATTTGGGGGAATAATGTGAATGCGCTTGTAGATTTGTATGATTTTGCCTTTAAAAATACTATGAGTTCAAACTCGGTGGGTATAAAGCCTCTGCGTAATTTCAAAACTCCGAATCATCATCATTTTCAAATAAGATCAACAACAACAACAATATGAAGAAGAAGAAATATAATAGAAGTTAGAACTCCAGAACTCAACTTGCTGGATCTCTCAAAGCTTCTCCGTGTGGGCAGAGGTTTCAGCTGTCAGCGGCTCTACAACAGATTGGACGGAAGGAACTATCCCGTATTCACCATGACACCGCCTCCCTCTTTTCCCCCACTGCTGAAATTGCTTTTTTTTTGTGGTATCTTATGGATTTCAGGGGCACAAATTTAACGCAACACATACAAGTCACTTAAAGATGGTGCGTAAGCCAAGAGGAGAGGGTGGCTCGTGCAATGCCACACCACACAAATCCGTAAGTCGGCGACCATCTTGCCGACATCCGTAAGCACCACGGTGCTTTCGTCGGTGGCGTTGGTGATATTGAGTGCTCCGTTAAAGTGGCGCCACGCTTCTACGTCAAGCCACTTCATCTCAATGTTATACAACAATGTTGTACCTTCCTCGTCAGTCGCGTACATGCACAGTATGGGGATCGGGAAAGAGCCCGTCCAGCACCCATGTGCGGAGACATGTCGAACACGTTTGCGCGCGTGGATAACGCATAGGGTGTGGAATTGGACGGACTCCTCCAGCATGCTACCAACCAGCTCGATCGAGACGATCAACACGAAATTCGAGCGAGTTACCACGATGACGTAATCGATGTTGGGGTGATCCAATCGCAAATCGGATCCCTCATTACGTCCTTCTATCGACACCAGCTGAAGCGCGGTTGCCGTTCCGTCCCTGCATTCGCGATAAAGCGCCATCAAGTTCCAGGTGTGCCCCCCTGAAGAACGCACGACACCACTTTCCTCGTCGAGCGCCCAAACCCCAACCATGCAGTCGTTTCCCGCGCTCATGAAGGTGTGCAGAGTTTCTTCGCTAGAAAGCGGCTGCCCACGTGGCAGCGGACACAGCGCGTTAATAAAAGTTCCATGATGTGGATCACTCAGTTTGAAAATGGAAGCTCCGCTTACGATGTCGAGAACATGAATAGTGGTGTCGTAAGAACCGGTAATCACGAAGTTGCGGTGGTTCATCAAGTTCGGGTGCCGGGAGCCCGCAAAAAACAACGACGTAACCCCCATCGAGTGCACCGCGGCGAACCGTCGAACGAGGCGATGGGTGGAACAGTTATACACCTTAATCCACCCATCACGGTAGCCGACAGCCACCCAGATACAGGAACCATCGCCGCCAGGGGGACTCTCCCCTGTGGAGTCTTCTTTCGTCGAAGCCCGTGGCGCTTCGAGGACCCTGGCGGGGGTTGGGCTCTCATCAAGGGCGAGCGCCAGCACCCCGTCGGTGTGCGCGGCCGCGCTCCCCACCACCTCACCGGATGCGGCCACCATGAACTCGAGGACGCCGTCCGCGCGGCCTAAGAGGGCGATCGACTCCACCTCATTTTTCCCGCCAATGACACAGCACGTCGTGATGGCCTTTTCGGCCGAATAGGGGACTTTTCGTTGAATCGACGAGGAGACCAAAATGGGATACTCCAGGCGAACCTCCGACCACGGCTTCTGCGCGGCCGCAACCGCTCTTGGGGGGTCATGCGCTTCGTCTCTTTCTCGTTTATGTGGCCGCGGCTGGTCTCCCGAATGCGAAGGGGGAGCCGCTGCGGCGTTGCCCTGGCAACTACAACGTTCCGCGATGAGGAGCGCGGAGGGTAACGCCCCGTCAAAGGGATCACTCGTAAAGTGAATAAGCCCTTTCAGCTGCTGAAACATCCCCTCCCGTCGCTTTTGCAGCTCCATTATGTGAGTGGCACTGACGCCTCCTTTTTTTTTGTTTTCTTCCCACTGAATGTTATCGAACTCATCCAGCATTTTCTGTAGACGCGCCAGGCGGGCCGGCGTATTCTCGTGCATCTCCTTGAAAATGGGTGAGTGCTGAAGCAGCGTGCGAGCCGCGGTCTGGATACCGTGAACGTGGAGCAACTCTTCAAAGATCAACTCATATAAGTTAGCACGAACCTCATATGGTATTAACAGGCCGTCAACGTATACGTTGAGAACCTCCGCCCAGCTTCCCTGCAGCACAGCACGCTGCAGCCCGGCTAGAGATGGTGGCGGGAATTTTACCCGCCGGGAACTCGCTCTACGGTCGCCATGGGCGCCCGGATAAGAACCCTCACCCTTGGTGCCGCCTAAAGTGCTGAGTTCTCCCCTCTCGTCATCCCCTCCTATGGCGACATGGATGGTGTTGTACGGGACCTTCGATTCCGCTTGCAGCGCGATGAGACTATCACGATAGCCAAAATAATCGAGATACTCGTAAATGAATCCAAGCACCTCTTCGTGTGGTATCGCATTTCGAGGCATTTGCGATCTACTTCTAAAGGAGGAGAACTAGAATAATTTTTTTAATGATTACAGACTTGTTCTATACAAAAAAAAAAAGAGACTCATAAAATCCCCAAAAAGTGAATTTGTTGATTCAAGGAGATACACCATAAATAGATAAAAATGAATAATATTTTATCTTCTCGAGCTACTTTATGAGCAGCGTTATTAAAAGAAAAATTGAATCCTAAGAGTTGCATCAAGTGCGCACTCAGAATATATCGCAACTGAGATAAAAAAAATGAGCTCATTGAAGAAACCCCTTTATCAACCCCCCACGACACTGCGACGCGCGGATTCGGCCGGACCGTTGGGGATGACATAAAAGAACCGATCCATTCGTCGACTCTCCTCCCCCCGCCCCCCCCCCTTCCATCCAAACCCA